ATTAACTCTGACGCAGCACCTGCTATCAGAATACAGTGTAAATACGCTGTGAATTAATTTTGCAAAATATTTACATTACGTGCTTGAAACTAGAAGTGAATTTCAGGTGTTTGGGTGACATGTCGCGAAGAGTTGTGATCACTGGCCTTGGAACAGTTAGTCCGCTGGGAGTTGGAGTGAAGTATTGTTGGGAAGCATTGCTTTCCGGAGTGAGTGGTACTACGAACCTCAAGGGCAGCGAGTATGAAAAAGTGCCGTCCAAAGTGGCAGCATTGGTTCCGACAGGAACAGAATCTCATCAGTTCGACGTCTCCAAGTTTTCCTCCGCGGAATGGAGACAGATGACGAAGAGCATCGCTTACGGACTGGTAGCTTCAAAAGAGGCGATGGACGATTCGCAATGGTATCCAAATACGGATGAGGATCGTGCGGCTACTGGAGTTACCATTGGCGTAGGAATGATTGACCTGGAGGACGTCTATACCACTGGTAGGTACACTATTATGTTTTCTTATTTTTACATGTAGATCACCCGATTTAAATGAAATTATTATATGACAGTTAACCGTCCTTCTATCTTGATCCATGGTTAAAGGCCACAGGCTAAAGCGTTGACCTCGATAAAGGTCTATATACCCAATTTGGAGGGAGAATATGATACCTTCGTTGAGGAAGTGCAGTGTGCTCGGTCCGAAGTGCCGAATACAGAGTACCTCATACTCATTTGTGATTTTAATGCACATTTCGGAGTAGACGCTGAAAAGTGGAACGGCGTTATTGGAAAAAACTACACTAGCGACCTCAAAAATAACGGCAAGAAGTTGTTGGGGTTTCGTGCAAACAACGGACTCTCCATTATAAACAATTTCTTCGAGCATTGAAGGGTGCATCACTACAACTGGTACCGGGAAGCTTGTGCAAAGAAGTCGATGATCGATTTGATAATCCTATCGTCTGAGTTAAGAGGTTAAGTAATGGATGTTCGTGTTAAAAGAGGCACAGAGCTATCAACCGATCATCACCTTGTTGTTGGCACGCTG